GAAGAGTGGGTTTGATGTGATTGTGGCACTGTGAAGTCAGGTGTTTTTTTAACACATTGACATGGGCTTTTCCAAGAATGTCTGACATATGGATCTGTGTGTGTGTGTGTACGTGTGCATCTATCTAAACAGGGCCAGCACAAGACATTTTGACACCTGAGGCAAAGAAAAAAATGTGTTCTGCCTGCATTCCATGTACAGAGGCCAACTAGACTAGAGTCACAGTTGAGCCTTACTTCAATAATAGTGACAGGATAACATCCTTCCGCATAACCTGAGGCCAGCAGACTAGGCTATAATAATAATAATAATAATAATAATAATAATAATAATAATAATAATAATAATATGGTTTATTTATATACCGCCCCTCTGGCAAGCCAATCTAGGCGGTGAACAACAAAAATACATTACAACAAATTAAACAATATCATTCCCTCCTCCCCGAACATCAAACAAATAACAACATTAAGATCCCGTCCCTCATTCCTACCCCCCACCCCAAACAATCAATAAACAAATTGAACAATTATTAAAATATACAGTACAATTATAAAAATACAATGTGCAATAAAAATGCATAAATTGGGATTGTGAACTCTCCCCAGTCTCTCCAATCTCCATAGCACAAGACCTGAGTCCAACATATCTCCCAAGAACACCGTCGCCGCGTTCCGCTGGCCGGGGGTGGAGGCGCTTGCGGGGGCCCAGGTGTTCCGGCTCGCCCTCCAGCTGTCTCTGTTAAGAATAAACAGCAGACTGTGTTACACGCACATTTAATAATAAACAGCAGACTGTGTTACACGCACATTTTTGTAATCTACCACTTTAGCAGGGCTTCATGCCTCTCAGAATATGTCTGAACTAACCACCTCGGTCTTCCTAATAGCAGAACTGGCCCTTTATCTGAATGAAAGTGAGGCCAATCACACCGATACTCCTCAAGAAATCTTATATAGGAATGGCGTTGCCATATACCAGATCAGACTACTTACTCATAAAATGCTTACAAATAGCCATAGTTCTCAAGAACCAAACAGAAAGAGTTTCCCAAACACTGGTACTTGAGGTTCTTTGAACTGGATAGATGGCAGGGACTGAGTCTCAGGTGCCGTGGAGCAGAAGCATGTGATATATCACTGAGCTATGTGCAATCCTCTTTCCCCCAAAAAACAGAGGAATGTAAAAAATAGAGGCAGTTGGTTTTACTCTCGTATCAAATGAGATGTCTTGTCCATCTAGCCAAGTATGGTATAATCTAATCTATGGCCCTTCAGGGTGGATGTTCCTCCTGGCTTGTAGCCTATGGCCAGCAACCAAATATTTTTCTGTCTGAGGCAATGCCCAATGTAGCAACTCTTCCTATTCTCTATATAAAACCTGACCAGACTGGCAGGACAATCCAGGTGACAAGACAATATACTCTCCTGATTCCCAGGGTTAATAAGATACAGAGTCATATGGGATACATCGTTCTAATCATTCCACACCCCTGAAGATTTGCTACCTAAGGTAGCTGCTGCACTCTGCCTCATGCCCTACAGTTACTGATGTTTTTACTGGAGTTACCAGATATTTTAACATATGATGTCTGTGAAGACAAAGCATGTAATTTCCCCAAAGAGGGGAAAATAACGATTAATGGTAAGCAACTGAAGAATAGAATAGAATTTAGACTCTGTTAAAGTCAAAAGAGTAAATGTTTTGTTGTACAACTGAGTAGGGTAAATGTGGACCTCTCTCCAAGTATCTAATAAGAAAGAATGCAAAATTAAGAATATATGGAAATAAGAAATGGAATAGGATAGTAAGTTATATAAGTAAGCTATAACAAAAATTAGAATGAAAATTGCAGTAACAACTTATGTAGGTGTGGTATCGATAATTGTGAAGGTAACAGAAAGTCAAGATTTTGATGAAATAGATAAATCAGTAATTGATGGAAAGGAAGTAAGGTGTGAATGGAAAGATGTTGAAAGAAAGTGAAAGAAGGTTAGAATAAGTGAAAGGATGGTGAGAGAGAGAAGAAAAGAAAATAGCTAAGAAAGAGAAGAAAGAAAGAAAACAAGGAAAGGGAAAAGGAGAGGAAGATCAGGAAAGTATTAGATAAATAGAAAAGGAAATGTAATTAGAAAGATAGAAGGAGCAGAAGGAAGGATATAAAGTTGAAGGAGAAAGTGTGGAAGAGTATTTGAAAGAACATCAATACCGATTGTAGTTACAAGACAAGAAAATAAAGAAATATATTAGCAATGTATATATAAGTATGTTTGTAAGTATATATGTTTATAGGTTGATATGTTGATATGACTATATGCATTTTTATGAAATATTGTTTGTGTTTTAATATGTTTCATAAAAAATATTTTAAAAAAAACATATAATTTCCCACTGAACTCTGCCCTGGTTCTTCACAAGGAATAATGGTTGGGTTAAAGAACTCCAAAGAATGGTTCTCTGATTTGTGGGGGAGGGAAAAAATTTTTTTTGAATGGAAACCAATTTTGAAACAAATGAGTTGTTTTCTAGACAGGAGGGCAAGGTTGTGGTCATTACTTCTCTCTGTGTGCATGTAGTATATTTCAAGTTATTTCATAAAGAATGTATTGTTTTCACACAGTTGTATGTTTTCTTCCAGCTGCTATTCTTGTTTGTTCTTCATTCCAGGTTTTATTTTTTTTTTTTACTCCAGAGAGAAATTATATTAAAACATTTCTTTTTAGAAAAGATAATAAATCAATCCATCTCCATCAGTTTCCTTCAGCTGGCTTCCAAACATTTCAGTCTCCCCTGAGTCTTTTCTCCAATCTTTGCACTTAGTTCAGGTCAACTCTAACACAATTTTCTGCTCTGTCAATGAGCCATTTCTGGATCTGTGGTTGGTGTTTGTTAATCTTCACACATGCTGACAAGCCTGAGGGAACTTCTTGTACAGGGCTTCTTGTTAACTGCTGCTCGCTTCCCCATCACATTTTTTGCCTCTGTTCACTCACTCATAAATATTTTTTTCCAGAGTTTCAGTACAATATTTCCATAATTGTGTTCTATGTGTCTGCTCCTCATTTTTTTTTAAAAAATTAAGTGTACATTTCAGAAACCCACGCTGTTGATGAAGAATTTCAAATATTTCTTTGTTCTCATAAGATGATGCAGGATGCTTGTGGTTTCAGCTTATTTGCTGTCTGGTGTGTGTACCTCTGGCTCTTGACTTGTGTTTTGCAGAAGGTTTAACAGGGAAGGACTAAAAACATCCCTTCTGTACAATGGATGCTCTCAAAGAAGCTACTGCAACATTGCAAGCATACAGGCAATCTAGTTATATCAGAGGTTGAGAAGGTGTGGCTTGTAGGCCTCATCTGGTCCCCGGGGCCTTTGCTATATCTTTCAGGACCACATGTTGAGCTGGGTCACAAAAAAGCCTCTCTAGGGTTGAAATGACCCAGAAATGTTTTTAAAAATTATTAAAATGTCTCCATGCTTCTTAAGAGGCATTTGGGAAAATCAATTATTTTCATAAGTAGCATTCCAAGCTTTCCTGGGGGTTGGATTAAGGGACAATGCAGGCCCCTAACTCCCAGCAGCTGTCCATCATTGAATTACATTTAGAAACAGTATATTATTCTCTTTCACCAATGAGGCCTGCCAAATTCAACCAAATGTCATTTCATTGATGAGGAAGGAAGACTGCCAGAAATAGTACACATTAAATTGAGGCACTGCCCTGGCTCAGTGCTAGGGAATCATATCCCAGAAAAAAATACAATTCCCATGACTCCCTAGCACTGAACCAGGACAGTGCCTCAATTTAATGTGCACTATTTCTGGCAGTCTGCAAAGGCCCTATCATGGCTTTGCTTGGAATTTTTCTTAAAGCACTATAGTGCTTTGTATATATTCAATGTAATACTTGTCAATGGCTAACAGGTAATTTCAGCAGAAACTGCTAGGCTAGCAAGTGAAGGTTACACCCAGCTGTTCTTCACTGCCCTGATAGAATACCAAAGCTTGGAAAAGTCACTTTTTTGACAGCACTGCCCAGAATCTGCAGCTGATACGGCCAGTACTTTTTCTCTTCTGAAAATGTTTGCTATTCAAAGGTGCCACTGAGACTTGAAATATTGCAATAGGGAGCATTCCTCTTCAGATTACAAGCCTGCTATGGCCTCTTCAAGAATAATCCAGTCTGTTTTCCTTCTAGTTTCTAGTTCCTTCTCATAACAGAAACTCAGCACTGTATAGTATTTACACTATTGCTGTATGCTTAGTTTTCACGGAGGTTTATAAGAGACCCCTTTCCACATTAGAGTACTTTTGTTCCTTTGTGAACACTTGAAGTTCCACAAGGTGCTTCCCTCTGAGCTTGGATTTCACTTTGGCTATATAAGGCTATATAAAATATACTGGATGTATGCTGGAGAATAAGGTTGTTACTGGAACATAGAATACTATTTGTTTGGGTCTCACGGGTGCTAGCTATTACTGGACCTATTCTACATAGATCTGTCTGTTAAAAACCCTTGTACAGATTTTAGCTTCCTGTGAGAAGATATTGGGGATTGCCAAGCCATCTACCCTCCTCTTCTGCTGTGTTAATCTGGAAAATCAGTATGCAAAGGGTTCTTGATGCATCTTTGAGATTAGCTGAAGGTCAGATATTGGTAGCATGAGCTTTTGTGGACTTGAGGCTACCTGCTGTCCATTGATTTCAGACACATGGTTTCTATGGTAGCAGGTCGCGGTTCAAGGTTGTGCTGTCTAGTTGTGGGACTGTGGGGTTATATAAGGAGTCTCATACTGGAATCACAGGACATCTAGAAGGTCCCCCACAAGTGATGATAACAATAGTGAGACAAGTGGAGATCCCTGTATTTGGCGCCAGAGTGGTGGGATAAGTAGAAACAGTTGGTGGTAATGGAGGGGGACAGGTGAGTGACCATCACAATTCTGGAAAATGGTATGAGAACTTAAACACAATTTATGGATTTAAATGTATCTAACATTGCTATGTGGTACAATGGTTGGGGTGTTGGACTATGACTCTAGAGACCAGGGTTCAATCCCCAGCTTGACCATGAAACCCACTGGGTATCCTTTAGCAAGTCACATGCTCTCAGTCTCAAAGGAAGGCAATGGCAAATCTCCTCTGAACAAATCTTGCCAAGGTTTGTCTTAGGGTCACTGTACGTAGAAAAATGAATTTAAGGCACACAACAGCAATCCTGCACAGGGTTTGGGCCAAGACCTTCATTGTTTTCTAATCTTTTCATAACCATATTTATTTTTGCTATGGCCTAGCTGAATAAACTATTGACAAGGAAGTAAGAACACTCTTGAGAGGAAATATGTTATTATAATGTGAGAGGCATGCAGGTTCACTTAAGGTGAGGAAGGCAATGGTGTTTCTGTAACAACAACAATAATAAAAAGCTCTGTGGAAACCTCAGGGTGAGAGAGTTAGATTATTTTCAATATCTTACTCTCTGCAATGCTAGATTTTTGAAGACTGAAGTAAAATTTCACTGTGGGAGAGCAAATCAGACACTCCAGCCCAAGTACAAAGGAGAATCTGGGCCAGTCCAGTTGCCAACCTTCCAAGAAATAGAATTGGCCCCAAAGCTTTCCAAGTTTGTGTGTGTGAGAGAGAAGTGGAAAGTGAGGTGCTGCTTCAAGGAATGATTGAGAAGAGTGGCTCATCCATTAAATAATGGTTGAAAATGTAGGGAACCAAGGTAGCAAGAGCCCCAGATGGTATTTCACCTATTGCTACATTAATGTAGGGAACCAAAGTAGCAAGAGCCCCAGATGGTATTTCACCTATTGCCACTTTACATCATCCTAGTAATATTGGTTGTTGTTGTGTGTCTTCGAATAATTTCTGATTTATCGTGATCCTAAGGTGAACATATCATGGAGTTTTCTGGGGCTGAGTGTGTGTGACTTGCCCAGTGGGTTTCCATGGTTGAGCAAGGAATTGAACTCTGGTCTTCAGAGCTGTAGATCTAATGTTCAGACCACTACAACATGCTAATAATATGCCTGCTTTCAAATATGGGTGTCTCACAGCAAGGTCCATAGTTCAGTGGCAAACCATTTGCGTTACATATAGGATGTCCTTGGTCCCCTAATATTTCCAGAAGCCCTTTCACATTACACAATTTAGAGCACTATGATTCCACTTCAATTGCCATAGCACCACCCTATGGAATCCTGGGGTTTGAAGTTTAGAAGGAGTACTCAGGATTTCCAGCCAGAAATCTCTAGTGCCTCATCATGAAACTGCAAACCTCAGGATTTTGTAAGATGGAGGGGGGTTGCAGACTGCCAGAAATAGTGCAAATTGAGTCCTCTTTTAGGGTTAGGGTTAGTGCTAGGGAATCATGAGAATTGTTTTTTTCCTGAGACATTGAGCCTTCTCTGTCAGAGAGCTCTGGTGCCACAATAAAATACAGTTTCCATGATTCCCTAGCACTAACCCTAACCCTAAAGTGGACTCAATTTGCACTATTTCTGGCAGTCTGCAACCCCCCGTAGCCATGTCCATTGAAGTAGAATCGTAGTGCTATAAATGTGAAGAGGGAAAGGGCATCTCCTTCCAGTAAATGTACCCAGAACAGAGCTAACTGAAGGGTTGAGAAAGGACCTGAAGCTCTACTGTACCTGAAGATCTCTCTTGTATCAGGTCTGATTTGAAGATAGAAAAAATTAAAAATTTAAAGATAAAGATTCCACCTGAACATTAGGAAGAACTTCTTGATAGTAAGAGCTGTTTGATAGTAGAATAGGGTGCCTCAGAGTGTGCTGGAGTCTCTTCTTTGGAGGTTTTTAAATAGAGACTGGATGTCCATCTGTTGAGGGGTATTTTGACTGTGTATTCTTTCATGGAAGGGGGTTGGGATGGATGGCCCTTGGGGTCTCTTCCAACTCTATGATTCTATTATTCTAACTGTAAAAAGGGATGGTAACAGAGTCCTGCATATTGGGCACAGACTAAATGAGCACTCTATTCCCAGTCTTTCCCATTATTTAGTCATTAACTCATAATTTTTATCAGCACAACTAACACATGAAAAATTTATGCAAATCATGTCTCTCTCTGTGTGTGTTCTGAATAGAAATGCTGTAAGAATGCAAAGTTGTCTGTATGTTCAGGGTTTTAAACAATGCACAGAACACTTTGACCAATTTTTAAAATGAGGAACAGAGAGGAAATACTTTGAAATGAGTGCTTCAGGGTGGAAAAAGTTGCAACACCCGGCAGAGAGTCACAGCACGGGAGGCAGACAACTCCCATGGATTTAAAATGTACCCTTAAGTAAATATTTTGATCCCATAATGGGACTCATACAGGGAACAGATCAGCTGGTGATAAACTTACATAATGACAAGAGTGAGAACTACTGGTCCCTGAGAGCTGCAAAATGCTAGAAAGGACAGACATCTGACTGACGATTTCAGAGGAATGTGCTGTGTTAAGCTGAGTTCTGTTTATTATTTTCTGGTGTTTTTTTTTTTTTTTTGAGTCTTGATGAATGTTTACTTATTCTTTCAAGATGGCCGGCACTTCTCTGTTACTAGAAACTGACATTTTCAAAGGAGGAAGCTCCTAAGTCACAAAAGGAAAATGCAAACACTAATTTCAGCAAAAAGCGTTGCCTTAATAACGGGACATTAATCTTTAAAAAAATAAAATGATCAGAAGAAGAATGGATTTATCAGACATTATTTAAATCTGTGGGCATCCAGGCTAAAGCTTGGAAAATATACTTTCAGGCCTTGAATCCCCAGCCACTTGCCATGCTGGCTATGCATTCCCTGGCTAGCCACTAGCCATGCTAGTTGGGGTATGTTTCTGGAAGTTTTAATCCAAATAAAAATAAAAATAACTGAGGGCACACCAAGTTGTTATACAGAAGCAAATTTACTGTAAATTATTGTTCATTACATATTTTCTTTAAAAAATTATATAAGTATTATTTTGTCTTATATATTAATTTTGAATATACTTTTTGTCAAGTACAACCAAGATACAGTATATGTATATTATACACACACATACACACTTGTATTAGTTTATACAAGTAGATTTGTAGTAAATATATTGGGAATATTGTATACCACAGAAAGTAAGGGACAGTGCAACGTATAGCCCCCCAGATGTTGCTGGACTGCAACTCCCAGCATTAGCTCTACTGACTGGAAGGGCTGGAGAACTGCATGAATCCCACTCCTGCTTTAAAGTAATTTAATTTTGTTCCCACCATCTGCTCAAGTTTCTACAACATTATGACTACAAACAAGGTCAAGTGGGTCTCATATTCCCTTCAGTCATGACATTCACAGGGTGATCCTGGGTCCAGTCATCACTTCATAGAATCATAGTATTGGAAAGGACTGCAAGGGCCATATTGTTCAACCCCCCCCCCCCCACCATGCAGGAATACACAGTTAAAATACTCCTAAGAGGTGGCCATCCAACTCTGTTTAAAAGAGCTCCAAAGAAACAGAGTCTACCACCCTTCAAGGCAGTCTATTCCGCAGTCAAACAACTCTTATTGTAAGGAATTCCTTCTAAACGCTTAGGCAGAATATCTTTTCAAGCATTTTGAATCCATTGGTTCTAGTCTTTCAAGCAGCAGAAAGCAAGCTTGTTTCATCTTTTCTATGACATCCCTTCAAATATCTAAACATAATTATCCTATCATCTCTTAATCTTCTATTCTCCAAACGCAATATGCCTAATTCCCTAAACTAGTCCTCCTAGGGGGTCTGAGTTCCACATCTTTGATCATCTTGGTTGCCCTCCTCTGAACATATTCCAGCTTATCAATGTCCTTCTTGAAATGAATATATCCTCACATATATATGTCTGTACCTGGCCTCCACTCCACCAAATGCATCTGAGGAAGTAGACTGAAGTCCATGAAAGCTCATGTTACCAATTTCTTTCATTCAGATAGTCTCAAAAGTGCTACAAGATCTCTCTACATACTTCTTGAAATGTGGTGCTCAGAACTGGACTCCATTCCAGGTGAGGTCTAACCAAAGCAGAACAGAATGGTACATTTGTTAATTTCAGTCTGTTTATTATAATCCTCTTGACAGCCTTGAATTGCATTGGGGGGGTTTTGGGGGGAGGGGGGCAAGCATCTCATTTTTAGTTTATGGTCTTCCAAGACCCTTAGATCTTTTAAACATGTTCTGATGCCAACCCTGGTGTCACATATCCTATACTTGTGCATTTCATTTTTCCTGCCTACATTTCCTCCTGTTGAAATTTATTTTGTTAGTTTTGGCAATCTGTCAAGTTCAGTTTACATTCTGATCCTTTCAACTGGGAAATTAGCTAATCACTCTAATTTGGTATCATCAGCAAATTTGGTAAGCATGTTCCTTATTCTATCTCCAAGTCATTTATTTTTAAAAATTATTTTTATTAATTTAATTATTAAAAATCACAAATCAGATTCTTGAATTACAGATGCACAATTAGATATAGATTATGTCTTACCTTCAAAGATCAGGTGCTAATTAAATAAATATGCTTTTGTTTCTGTTTTTGCACTTGAATCTCTCTACCTATATACAAATTCTATACAACGTCTCCTATCTGTCAGATTATACCTCCTAGTATTATTTCCATTGTATATCAATACATCCATTACAAATTTTTAATATTTTGATAGCTCTAGTCTCAATCTATTAAACTCTTATTCTATATTTATATAAATCCAACCATAAAATGCATCAAAGCTATAAAAACATATCATCATTGTCATTGTCATCCAAGTAATTTATAAAGATATGGGATGTAAATAATATTTCAGGCACTTACTTATATTAGGAAGAAAACTGCTAAAATTATTAGTTGCTTCCTTCAATAATAAAATTAGCAAAGAATTACATCCCTAATAAAAATGTGAAACAATAGAGAGGCCCAGGACCTCTCTGATTAATCTGTTTTTGTAATTTATAGAGGGCTGGCAAAGGTGAAATATGGCCAAAGATAACTTTTTATGGCAATCTGAGCTCCACAGAGGAAATGTAATATACAAATGTAGTCAGTTTTATTTTC